GGCGATCTCTGGGATGCCGATCGCGCGCAACCTGATCGCGGCTCGGTCATCGAATCGGCTCTGTAACCCTATCTCGAATACGTCGTATTTCTTATAAGTAGACACGTTTCCGCCAATCGTAATCATCGCTAAACTCTCCTGCCGGACGGGTTTCAGTCGGAGTGACTGGATCACATGGTCAGAGATATACGATCGTTCCGAGCCGATATCTATGAAGAATCTAAAAATCTTCCTGCCGCTGGGCGAGTTCACCCATGCGAGACCCGTCTGGAAAAATGTGGATGCTCGCTCCCCTGGTTGGCTCCGCGCGCTCACGTTCTGAGTCGTGAGAGACTCCGTATTTCGACCCGCGCAAGGGCTCGACCTCTGCTCGCTCGCGTTCCGGGTCGTGAAGGATTCCGTGCTCTGGTTCGCGTTCCGACTCGACTTCTGCTCACCACACATTATCGCGTAGTGGGCTGCTGCACCTTTCGCACTTTACATAAGTTCTACATTTCTTAGCGTAGTGATTCCGGTTGAGACACTTGAAGCAAGCGTTGCCCCGCTCGCAGAGAGTCTTTCGTTCCTCATAAGTCAGATTTTTTCTACACGCTTTCGATTCGTGCTTCTGGCTGCCGCAAAAGACACAGCTGTGATCTACTGCGTCACTCCTCTGACTGCCTGCGAAGAAAGCTTTGCTCGCCCCAGGCGCTCCACCATTGAATCTGCCGTTCCCTGTTCTAGCCTGGCTTCTATCGCTGAAATCCCTACGCGAATGAGAAGGTCCGGGGTACGACTCAAAGCCCAGAGACCTGCATGCTCTCTTGACCGCTACCTCTTTCTCCAAGTACTCTAGGAGGGTCTCAAGCTCGCTGTTCGAAACGTCATTCAGCTGTAGCTTTTCGAAATGCGTTCGAGTGAAGTCCTCTCTCATCGTGCTCGGTAAGCACGTTAGGATGCCTGGAGCAATTGTCACCGAAAGTGACTCGTAAGATAGGCCCAAAGAAATCAGAGCTTTGACGTTTTGAGACAGCGAGGAGACAAAACGCGATAACTTATCGTTCTGGTGCAGATCTCTCCAATTGTAGAGTTTCTGGATCTCGAAGACGTGCTCCTTCTCCGCCTCCCTCTGGCTGCCGAATCTCTTCTCGATGATTCCGATCGCCACCGGATACTGGTCTGCGTTGAACTCCAGATGTGCTATCTCCGCCGCCGGGAGACCTACGAGCGCCTCCTTCAGAAGTGTGAACTTCTCGACCGGATCGAGCGGCTTGCGATGTACGTGAACGTCGAAGAGCTGCCACCACTCTCGAAACTTCTTGAAGTCCCCGGCGAACTTCGGTAGACGATACTTGCGGTTGAGCGCCAAGCTTGTCGTAGGCGAAGACGCGCTCCCGACGCTGGACGCCTGAGCCACTGGATGGAAGATTGATTCGAACGCTTCCCTGATCTTGAAGAATTCGTCCTCGTAGAAGAACACCCTTTCCATAGTTTTTTCGTACTGGTCCGGGGAGAGCCTGAGGATGGTCGGCGTCAGCAGGGAATTCCATCGTTCCATCTCTTGATATGTATGTTCGATAGTCTTCCACAGCCTGGAGCAATCACTATAACTTGATGTCTCATAACGCAGCGCCTCCTCCAACTCTTTCGTCTTCTTCGTGAAAGGCGTGCGGAGCGTGCGCCTGATCATGAGTTGCGCGTTCATCTCATCTCGCTCCGCCGCCGTACCCCTGGTTCCTACTCTTTGGGGGTCACATGTTTCCGATGTTTCCGCCGCCGGCGCATTGGTCAGGTCGTCAGCCATGGATGCGGACCAGCAGTGGCGCTTGCGAGATTTTCCGCCGACCGGCCGTCAGTAAGTAGGCCTAACACGCTTGGAGGCTCAGGTGTGAACCGTCGCCGCGCCGTCGGTTGCGGGGAGAATCCGCTTTCTGGACACCGCTGTACTGCGTGGTATCGCCGCTGACGGGACGTGACTGCTTCTGGCGTCTGAGCTGCCGGACGACGCTTGCCAATGGATGGGCACTCTGCTGGGAGCTGAGATGTTCTCGAGTCTCAAACTCCGGAAAACGCACTGGATGCCCTGGTGTTCGGGTCGAGCTGCTTGAAGCGACTCCTATCGCTGCGTATTTCTTCTGTACTTCTGTCGGACCGCTTGCGCGATTCCGCCGTTATCCGAAGTCGCTGGCTGGAGCGGGCGATCTGGAATCTCGGTCTGGAACCACTTCTTAACGTGCTGATCCTTGTCTTGGTTTCCGCTGCCACCATATGAAGCCACAGTTTGGCGTCGGAAAGAATACGAAACTGAATTTCGGTTAAATTGCCGATGCCGTCGTGGTCTCTCTCACCGTCTCGGTCGACGGTTGGTTCTCAACTGTGTGTGTCCGCTGCGGCCCGTGAAGCTTCCAGACGTGGATGCACGTCAGACCTCCCCCGCACCTCAGCGCTATCTATGACCACTCCACGACGGCCGTCGGCTCATCTTTATTGCAGCATATAATTTTACCTAGATATGCGTCACAGCAGCTACCGGCCAGACTCTCGATCGGCCCATAAGGAAGCTCTACCCCTTAGAAACTTATCAATCGAACCATATAGCCCTAGATCTGGCCCCATGGACGATGCGCCCAGGGAACTCATCGCAACCTCAGCCACAAATTAGGTCCCCTCTCCCCAAGACTCAAGATCAAAACCGTATCGGTACATGTTATCAAACCAAATTTATTATGTGCACAAGCCCAAATATGCTGCATCGAGAGATCGTATCATGGGGAGGCCCTGGGCCGAGGAACGCCTCGCGGGAGCTCTTTCCCGGTGTACGGGTCGAGGGGGCGCGGCTTCCGCTCCCAGGGGGGGATGTCTTCTAGGGAAGCTCGTGCGTATCTTCTCAGGTCTTCCTTCCGTCGCTGAACGGCGCGAACTTGTTCAGCCACAGTCTCAAGGCTCGGGGACGCGTCGTTCAACTGCGTTTCACCCGGCTTGAGGGTTACACTGTGGACACCGTCCCGAAAATCTCGATGCACAAGGTACAAATACCTCGACGCATACGGGATGGAGGGTATCTTGTACTTCAGTATACGCGGCAGCGGGGGGTGCCCTTGAGTCGTTTTTCCACGAGTCCGCCGGAGCAAACAGGCGTAACGTCGAAACGGTTCCTGTTCGTCATCCGTCAAGTCGAACCACTAGTAGCGGGCGATGTAATCGAAGTCGCGGGAACAGAAACGGTAGAAACACGGCTCCGTCACATAGAATAAAGTCTTGATGACCCCGAGGGGCGTGCGATCCTCAAAATCTGCAGCCAGAAGGCACGTCATTGTTCGGTAGTGTAATATTTGAAAGCTCGCGCCACTTGACAGCGCCCTCTCAAGGGCAATTGAGATCTCTGAATAAACGATGAACACTCACTCGTTCCCTGAAGAGAGCGCAGTCATTACATGGTATCAGAAGTGTGGAAGTTTGTGATAGAGAAGAAAGTCCAGGATGCCGAGCGTACAAGAGAACTTTGCCGCAACCGCCCCGTCGGGATCTGCACGCGTGTTCAACGTCGCGCCGCCGCAGGCTCCAACAGTGGACGGCACCGATCTGTTCAACGACTGGGAGGATTTCAAGCAGGAATACGAGATTTTCTCCGTCGTGGCGCAGGTGAAATCACAGTCGGAGGAACTACAATAGGTGACATTCCTGTCCTGCCTCGGTCTCGACGCGAGGAAGTGGTTGAAGGGAATCGGAGTCGATACGGGGAAACTGACGAAAGCGCGAATCATCAGAGGAATCGATGAGGAGTGCGCGAAGAAATCATCAAAGACGTTGAAAGATTTCAAATTGTGGCGCGACGAGCTCAATCAAGCAGAGGGTGAGAGGTTCGATAAATATCTCGGAAGGGTCAGCAGAACTGCCATGGCATGCAAATTCGAGGACACGTCCGAGAACATCGTGGACCGCATTATACGCAGCAGAGTAATCATCGGAATAAGCGACAAGAATATCCAGCGTCAACTACTCTCGAAGGACGCTGACTTGGAATCAGTCGTCGAAAAATGCCTAGCAGCTGAATCGAGCTCGAAGGGACAGGCGCAAATCAGGAAGAACTCCGAAGAAGAATCAAAGGTCGCATCAGTTACGAGGCGATATCGAGAGAATTCTCGAGAACAGAGCTATAGACGAGAGGGAACGGAATGGAGAAGGAAACCGTTCCAAGATGGCGGCGGCCAGCGAAGACCCCTCACATGTTTTCAATGCGGCAGTCAGGGCCACATCGCGAGATCCTGTCGAAACTACCGTCAGAATGAGAAGAAAAGAGTCTTCATGGTTCAACAACAAAGTGATGAGGAGCATGGCGATGAGAGAACGGAGTCCCCTGACGAAGAGAATCACTATGTGAGGGCCGTATGCGGGCGAAGAAGTAGCGAGACTTCGGGTCTCAGGAAAATGTCTGATGACGAGATCAAACGAAAACTGGAGTGTTCAAAGAGCTCGAAGTGGCAAGAGATCGTCCGAATCGGAGGTGAGCAGGTGGTGGTCGCTATAGACACTGGGGCGCAATGTAGTCTGCTCCCCAAGTGTGTTGTGACAGAACTACTCAAGACCAACAGAAGAGCACGGCTCCTTGACTCGAAAACGAAATTCATCTCTTATTTCAACGACGAGCACATCACGACTGAGTGCATCAGACTGCCGATATCGTTCAAATCGCAGGAGGTGGTGGAGAAATTTTTTGTCGTGACTCCAGATCTGACTGAATGCAGCTTTAAGGAGAGGACCTCATCCGACCAAACGACTGGAACAGATTCAACGCAAAATGACAAGAGCTGCATTCTTCACCACGCTGGACGCAGATGAGAGCTTCTTGCAGTTGAGACTTGACGAGCCGTCCTCGTATTTGTGTACATTCATCACACCGTTCGGCAGATATAGGTTCCTAGAAGTTCCCTATGGCATAACGACGGCGAGTGATGAATTTCAAAGAGTCACTGATGAGCTCTTCGGCGAGATGGACGGGGTCATTCCCTACGTAGATGATATCGTCATCTGGGATGAAACGATAGAACAGCAGCGAGAACGGGTGGAAAAGGTCCCACAACGATGCAAGGAGGTCGGTCTAGTGCTGAACCCAGGAAAGTGTCATTTCGACAAAACCTCGGTAAAGTAGCTTGGCCACATTCTCTCGAAGGAGGGGTTCAGTGTGGACCCAGGGAGAATCGAACATATCAAGGCGATCGAGGCACCGAAAAATGAGAAGGAGCTACAACGTTTCCTGGGCGTTATCAAATTTGTAGGCGCATTCATCGAGGGGATGTCCGGAAAAACAAAGCATCTCAGGGACCTGGTCAAGGAAGACACCGAGTTCATCTGGGGCATGGAACAACAAGTGGCATTCGAGCCTTTGAAGCACAGTTTGGTCATGGCACCCGTACTGCGATATTTTGACCCTAGTCAACCAGTGGTTTTGTCGGTTGACTCGTCGGAGTTCGCGGTCGGTGCCGTACTGCTTCAGGGAAGTAAGCCCGTCGCTTACAGCAGCAAAGCCCTCACCGCCGCGCAGCAGAAACTGCCACAGATCGAGAAGGAAATGATAGCGATAGCTAGTGGATGCTTGAAATATCATTACTACATTTATGGACACCCGGATATAACCGTAGAAACCGATCATAAGCCTCTGGAGAGCATCTTTTGCAAGGAGTCCGATAAAGTACCCTTCAGTCTGCAGGCGTACTGGCTGAGCCTTCAAAAATACGGCCTGAACGTGAAGTATAAACCGGGGAAGCAAATTCCAGTCGCGGATTTCCTGTCAAGATTACGAGCGACAGAAGTCGTGGAAAACAGAGTTGTGACGAAGTCTGTGGCGACAATAGCTTTTTCGGACGAGCGACTCGCCGATTTCGTGCAGAGTACGAACAAAGACCCTGAGTTGCTCGCATTGGAGGAGATGTACCAAGTGGGTTGGCCGAACGACAAAAGACAAGTTCCGGAGGAAATTCGGAAGTTTTGGCCGTATCGAGAGGAACACGTCCACAGAGGTCTGGTGCTACGTTCCGGAAGAATCATCATACCCGCCTCTAAACGGGAAGAGGTGCTCTACCAGCTGCATGCCTCGCACAGGAATGCGGGTAGTATGCTATGCGGGAGCCGACACTTAGTGTACTGGCCAACAATCGCAAGGGAAATTGAAATCAGAGCTCAGAATTGTAACGGCTGTCAACGAGACCATCACAAAATTCCGAAAGAACCACTGCTGCCGAGTACAGTGCCTGAGTATCCATGGCAGGTAGTCAATGCCGACGTCATGCACTTCGAGGGATGCAGCTATCAAGTCATCGTCGACCACTACAGCTTTTACTGGGAGGTAGTGCGTCTGCCGAGCCTCACATCGAGCGCCATAGTTAAAGCGCTGTGGGAGGTGTTCCAGAGTAACGGCTACCCAGAGGTGTTCCGGTCCGACAATGCAACGCAGTACAAGAACGAAGATCTCAGAGAGCTTTTCAGAAGATTTGACATCACGCATAAGACAAGCAGCCCGTTCTACGCGCAGAGTAATGGCATGGCCGAACGAGCCGTACGGGAAGCTAAGCGAATCCTGAAGAAAGTCAGCTATGGCTCACCGGACTTCTACAACGCTCTATTGGAGATACGATCAACGCCAAGGTCCGAGCTGCTGGGATCCCCAAGCCAACGACTGATGTCCCGGCAGCCGCGAACGCAGACCCCATGTCAAAAAGAGCAACTGATTCCCCGAGTCATCAAGCCCGAAGTCGTCAAGGGAGAACTGCGGAGCCTACGGGAAGAGCAAAGAAGATACTACGATCG